AGAACTTGGAGTGTTAAATTGGAAAGATGATTGGAAAAGAGAGGAGGAAGCCTACCTGCAGGAAAGCCTGACCAAATTGATAACATTTATCATCTCTTGCACAGATTCCACAGAGTTGCTCATCCATCACACACAACTTGGTCTTCACTGAGCGTTAGCGTTCTGAAGTTTACAGCCTTCTGCTCCCATCAGCTACTCAAAAGCTTGAACATCATCAGTAAAATAGCAAAGGCTCTTTTGTCCCCACAGAGTTCCCCTGCCTCATGCAGTTCCAAGCTCCGAGCTTCTGTCAAGTCACAGGTTGGGAAATACAGCACAACAAAAGAGAGAAAAGCTGTATGCTGGCCAACACAAATACTATCTCTATTGCACAAGTCCAAAGAAGCATCTTCATGCAAAATTGTAGCAAAAGAGCTGTATCGCATCATGCAGCAGCGGGGAAGGAAGGAGGAGAAAAACAGCTAAGTTCCTTCTGCACAATACCTGGGCTGAACAAAAATAATTAATGTTATAGCTGTCACTTGGTTCACACAGCATGAAATTATCGTGCTCTGTTCATCTAATAAGATTTAAAATACTATCGAATAAACTTTTCGTCTTCCTTGAAAATATGTGCTGTACATGACTGGACACTTTTGGTAGGATACCAAGTCAAATTCTGGTGTTAATTACACACTTTTTCTGGACTACTTCTCCAGTATCACTGAGGGTACCCAACGTGCGAAGAAACTGATTTCAAAGCCCTGTATCAGAAATCTAGCCAAGACTCAAAAACATCAGTATCTGAATGATTGGCAACAGAGCAAATCCTGCAATGGCAACTCCTAACCATGAGCATGCTGTCTTACACATTCAGCCAGCTTTGGTAATGGTCCAGGCAAAAGCTCATCTCCTCTCTGGGAATAGAGAAAGATTTCTTTCCGATTCCTTTTATTTCACACAAAAGGTTGCAAAAAGTTGCCCACTTTGCTGTGAACAAATCACTCGATTTTGTAATAAGGCAGGAGGAAGCTGCATTTGTCACCTTGTTTCCACTTCATTTTGTTCAGACACACTCCATGAGCAGGAGATCTTGAAGATCTACAAAACCCTATTTTCCAAATAGTCCCCACCATGAGCTATGGGTTTCACCAATGCTCAGCAAGTGCCAGTGAATATCAGTGGGTGCAACTTTTTCCACGTGGAGAAATTCAATGACACCACTTTGTTTCATCCACACTTCCGTGTCAGACACTATTTTGCCAGACTGCCTCTCTGCTCCCATCGGTCACACATCAACAAAATGTATGAATATTGGCCATACCATACCAAATGTATGAATACTGCCATACCATCAACATCCATCTGCCTCGGATGTCATGGGCCAACATAATAAAATAGGAGGCGTTACTTTTGGAGCAGCCCACATAGCTGCCTGTTTTCCTCATCTTTGAATTCACACTTCTAAGTTGCCATCTGCCTTTATAGACAGGTCTCCCAGATCCCAGCCACCAGCCAGCCCAAGCTTATGTAAACACCTCAGGATTCAAAGAAAATTCAATCACAATCACGGCTGATTAAACCGAACATATACAAAAGCAAAGTAAATTGAAATGGGTACATAAATCAATGCAAAGATAAGATAGAGGACTTATCTTGCATGGCAACATAAGAGAGTTGCAATACATGAACAGACCAATGATCCATCTACTCGTGAGTTTTTTTCACTGATAATGGCCAACACTTCAAAGAGCACAGGAAGTCGACACACAGTACATGTAGCCAGAAGTTATTTGCCATACAGAAGACGAAAGAAAACACCAGAAAGCTCATAACTTAAGTTTCTTCAAACACATTAAGACATGTGATTTAGAACTATTTACAGAAGGTGAAAAGAAACCTATCCCTCTTGGAAATCTAGGACTCGTTCTTTACGGTCATTTCCAACACAGAAACAGAGCCTCGGGATTTCAACGAGTCACTATAAAGACAGAAATTAAGATTCTTTTGCCCCATCACCTCTTCATACAGCCTCAAAACATGACTGGCTAATACTGTAGGACATTTCACCACTCAAAGCCAGTATCTCAAGGCACACAGCTAAGATAAGTGTGATAAGATGCCCTAGCTCCAGAGGTCAACGAGAACAGTGGCACCCACTCATTCCTTCACCTGTGACCAAACCTCACCACGGGTTTGGTGGCTCCAGAAGGACATTTACATATAACCATGCCACAGGGCAAGCTCTGACTCCGATGTACAAAATCCAAGTTCCTAAGCAACCATCAGTTGTGTTTGCAGAAACTATGCATGTAAATTTCCAGCTCTTTATTTGCACAGGTAGAATTCAGCGTACATATACTATACACTTTGTGTATTTAAATGAAATTCAATGCAACATTGCTGATGTATCATTTCTGCTAGTATTTCAGTCAGGCCATTTATAGTGGCAAATTAATAGCCCTTTCTCCATTCCTTCTCCCCATAGAAACTATTGCTACAGCTTATAGAAATCGAGTATAAATTAGGTACAACAATCCATTTATTATTCTGCTCGCTCAGGAGTAAATAAAACAACTCAGAAGAGACTTTTGCAGAGCTCAATAGATTTAATCAGTGACTTTGATATCTCATTATCCTGGGAAATCAAAAACGTTACCAAGAGAGAAGAACACGCATTTCACCTCTTGGAGAAGAGGTTTTCATATATTGTCAATCTGTGTGATAGTCAGGAGATGTAGCTTTTCTTGCTTAATAAACAGGCTTTAAACAGCCAGAAGAAGATACTTTGATTATTCTATAGATATCCTTTACGCATAGAATCCTTTCAGTATATAACCAAGAACATAGCTACATACTTTACATGGTGCAGATGAGTGCAATAGAGAGAAAATACAGACCACCGTACTCCTATCTTCAGGCAACATCTTGGCCAGAAACCTACCCAGTTTTGGTCTTTATTCACTAGTTTAACATTACTCTGTAACACTGGTCCTGTTCTGCCTTCTTATCCCCTGAACCTTTAAGAGAAACTGAGACCTCTCATGCAATTGAAATCCCCCAGAACAAAGCAGGAGGCAGCCAGCAGAGGGAATGACAAAGAGGGTCTAGGTAAGTGACATCGGTATCTTGAGCTGATTTTGGCAAGGGACTTCTGCACACAAAATTCTAACAAACCAATGCAGAAATCAGGTCCCACATCTCCTCCAGAACAGCTTCCCCGAATCAGATCAACTGTCTGCCTTTCTCGTTAATTTTAATCCCAAGCTCATGCACCGCAGGAATTAAGCAACCTATACTCAACATCTTGCTGGCAGCAGCAGTACTCAAAGAGAGCACTCTTTGGTCCAGCAGAAAGTAAGAGTTGGAGGGGTATGGACCAAAGACCAGAAACCTGAAACATTATCACAGGTACAGAGTGTGCAGGCTTATCTGCCACAGAAATTAGGTGTTGGGATGGTTCAGGCTGGTACAAACTCAATTTCCTCTGCTGGGGGAAATCTGAGTGGAGCTGCCTGAAAACATACAGACCACACTTACAGACTGCCTTGCAAGAAACACATCAGGACAGGAGTACACCCTGTCCCTTTAAAGCCCTAAGACAAGGAACTTGTGCAATGCTTAGTTAAAAAACTCGAGAATATTTGCTATTGCTGTCATTCACCATTGCATCAAAAACAGTTCTACTGGAAAGAGGGAAGCACAGGAGTAATGCTCATAGCACGAATAGGAGTGTACTGAAGGAGAGGTGGGCAATGGGCTTGCTGTGCATATCCTAATATCCTGACACAGGATTAATCTGCACTGTTAATATTTGTGAGAACAGTTACAATTCAGGCTAGATTCCTACAGAAATAAATAGATCTAATAGACTTCTCCAGGGTTTTTTTTCCTAAGATCAGCATTAAGATTTAAAAATTAGGTGAGATACTCAACGTGATTTACTGCCTGCACTTTTTACACACCAGAAAAGTGTCAATACTATGACAGAAGGCTGCTTCAGTCTCCTTTTAGGGATTTTCCTGTTCCTCAAAGCGTTGTATATTGTTCACAATTTGACACTTCATAATTACAGCCGTTAGCTGTTTTGTCATCTAATGGCATTACGATCATCTGAAACAGAGCAGGACCCACAATTATCTCAGCAGCTGTATACAGCCAACTCCCACTGAAATACGCTCTGATTACAGCTGCTTCCTCTCCGCTAAAACAAAGTTGGTACCATTTACCTCACTCCAGAATCCCAAAATGTGGAAAACTGGCATGCAAGCCTCAATTTGCTTAGAAACAAAAGTTACTGTAGAATTTGAGATCTGAATACTTTAAGATCACAGTAAGTAAATTTCAACAGAAGTCTTCATCTTCAGGCTTGAAAAATGCTATCACCTCTAGTTCTTGAAATAAGCACATATGTACGTAGCGCATATAGGCGTGCACATGTATGCAATCAGAGTCATCATTAGGGTCGGAAAAGACTACCAAGACCATCTAATCCATCCATCCACCCATCAATACAGAGACACGAACAGGTCTCCCGCCTCAGCCTGACCTTGTTCCCTACTTTTAAGACCTCTCGAGGGCCACGCAAACCTCCCACGATTATAAAGCACTGATCTCTCAAGGATTCGCTTGCAGAGATCCCCCCAGCAACCGGCAGGAGACGGGTGAGGGTGGGCACAGACCTCTGGTGGCTACACTCAACGTTTCTAACTCGCTCTCAGCTCTAACATCCTCCCAGAATCATCCTCCTTCCTGACTGAAAATAGCAGCGGTGGCACTCGGACCAGAGAGAATTAAAAGTCGGTCCAAACTAGAAAAAGCGATGGAAATTAATTTTACAACGGCAGAGCGTCCCCTCCGCTCAGCCGCGCTGCTCTCCTTGCAGGAGTACCGTAGCGTCACACACCCACAGCGCGACGGCACTGCGCTGAGCCGGGCAGCAGCCGGGAGGGGACGCCGCTCCCTCAGGGCCAGCCCCGGGCCCCAGACGCAGGTGGGTCGGGCGAGGGGCGGTTACTCACACGGTGAAGTGGTACACGAAGCACTTCCAACCCGTCGGCCGCTCCAAGAAGTTGTACACCCGGCCCTGGATGTTGCTGCGACTCAGCAGCGGTTTGCGGAGGCTATAGATGGAGACGCGGGGGTCCAGGTTGACCGGGGGCCGCGAGCTTTCCGCGCCCACCACCACCACATCGCTCTTCACGTGTGGCGGCCTTTCCCGCGTCGCTCCGGGACCGCTGCCTGCCGGCGGCCGCCCGCCCTGCCCCTCGGGGATCGGGGTGTAGTGGGCGTTCGGGACGCTCTCGGCCAGCTCCAGCGAGGGGGGCTTCTTGCCGGGCGTCATACTGCCCTTCCTAGGCAGGGAAAGCCGGCCCAGGCTCCGGCTCTTGTGTTCGCCCGGGGGAGAGCTGGAGGACATGGCTGAGGCGGAGGCGTCGGGGCTGCGCTGCCGCACGGTGCCGCCGGCTAGAGCCGGGTGTCCTCCCGCCGCTGCTGGCCCGGCCCCTCGGGGGCGGCTCCCGGCCAGGAAAGGTGAGGGGGAAGCCGAGACGGGGCGGATCGGAGCGTGGCCGTGCCCTGCCCGCAACCCTGGGGCCGCCCGCCCGGAGGCGCTGCTCCCCACACCTGTACGCACACCTGCAGCCAGCAGCGCGCACGCGACCTCTTCTGTGGACGTCCTCTTCTATAGACAGCCGGGGTGCAGCTACCAGCACCCCCCACCCAGCAGCTTTTCCTGTCTTCCTGTTCCTGCTGGCTCCCGTGGGGACAAAGTGCTCCAGAAAAGGTTTTGCAGGGCTGCGGTCTGTCAGTGGCACGACCCCTGGGATGAGCCATCGTCTTCGAATTTGAAATGCCAGAGCCTTCAGGGCTCCTTTGCTCAGATGTTAAGCAGTGGGGAGGAGAGCTCCGAACCAGCCTGAGTTCTGCCACGGTGCTGCTTTTAATAGGAGTAAAAAGAACAGGCTTGATATGGGTTTATATGTTTGACCCTGGCACAAGTTGCCCTGAGAGGTGGCGGATGCCCCATCCCTGGAAATGTTCAGGGTGAGGCTAGACGGAGCTCTGAGCACCCGATTTAGTGTCCCTGTTTACTGCAGGGGAGCTGGACTAGATGGCTTTTAAGGGTCCCTTCCAGCTCAAACAATTCTGTGAATAAGGGTTTGGCCATCAGGCTTGCAGTCTTAGATCCTACAGTAATAGAGGGGAGCAAATAGCTGAGTAATTGGCAGGCTGCAGAACAATAAGCATAGCTCCATGGGATTGCATTGCCTGCCAGCTGAGTCCCTCACCAGCACTTGTGTGGAAGGTTGCACATGCTTGGTAATAAATACCAGGCTATTTTGAAGATTTCAATAACTTTCCTGTGTATTGGAGTGAGTTATGAGTTGCTTAACTGCCGTGTGAGTGAATGTATCATGTTAATAAAAGCCTTTGCAAAGACATTTAGTTAATGTATTTTTTTCCCCAGATCTAAAGAGAATCTTCCTCTTTTGATCTGGATTGCTGCTGGGTTTTGTTTTGGTTTGTTTGTTTGGTTGGTTTGGTTTCTCTTTTGGATTTGCTGAGGATTTTTTCTATCCCAGAATAGAACAGAACTAGTAAGAGCTGTGTTGGGTTCATGGTTGATGCTGGTACGGGGACAAGAATGTTGCAGGAAGATAAGGTGCTAAATAAAGTTAAACACAAATAACCCTGCTAATTGCAGTTCCATTCAAATGTCAAGCTGTACGTATGGTAGTTGAACTGGGCAAGTTCCTTTGCTAGTGTAAATAAGTGAGACTGTAGGCTCTTGTAAAGTACTCATTTATAGACGTGAAGAATCTGAACCCCATGTTAGAAATTCAAAAACAAAGGCTAGCAGAATTTGCAAAATTTGTCTTGAGACCAACAAAAAAGTTTTCTTCCTCCATCAAAAGAAAGTAAGAATAAAAACAGCATGACAGAGGAAACTTTTCCTGCATCTGGTCAAAACAGAGCCAAGTTACATCTGACTGGGCTTTCTCTGGCCTGGGGAATTGTGACGTCAGGTATGCATCAAGTATTATGGAAAGGAAGTACTACATAGAAATCACGTAGGGAAAATCTACTCATTTGTAGCCTGTGACTGCCTCTCCCACATCCAGTGATGCACAGCTTTTTAGCGTCTATAATGCCTGAGCAGGAGGATGAACCTCCAAGGTCAGGAATGATTCCTGTCCTTGAACCTTGGCCATGGGATTTAGGGAGCCGAGCCCAGCCCAACAGGTGCCCTTGAATAAGGAATTTTCCATTTCTTGCATGCATTTTTGTCCATTTCTACAGTCTGACATCCATCTAGAAGAAACATTTGTGCTTTCACTCAGGAACAAATCAAAGATCGTATCGGTAGTTCAGAATACCCTGCCTGTACCAACCACAGAGGAAACCCATGTGCTGTGATGTACACAGTGAGTTTGCCCAGCATGGATTGCAGTATATTTAGCATTCAGAAGAAACATGTGAATCTTGTTTAGTCATTTGCTTAGAAGATATTAGAAGACAGTCACAAACCAGTTACTGTTGCTGGCAGTAAGCTGGACAAGTAACACAGCAGATAGTAAGCTGGAAAAAAAACGAAAAAAAGACTAATGGAAGAAAACGTCATTGCTACCCTTGAAGGCTGACTGTTTGAGGACTAGCCTGATAAAGTCTTGATATTAAAGTTAACAAATGCATTTCTTTATGTAAGCGTTCCACTTTAAAGACTGATATTTTGTCTGGATTATCCAAGGCCTTTATTCTAGAGGTAGGAACAAAAACAGTTCACAGAGTTTGGCAAGACAAGAGGCTGTGCTTAAGTAGATTTTGCTGTTCTTTGAAAAGTGCTTTCAAAATCTTTTAAAATGTTGTGGCATGATATTGTTATTAATCTGCTGACTGACAAGAGAAGAGAAAATCCAATAGATCTGAAGATAGGAATAATGATTTTTTTTGTAACATACAATTTTCTTTTAAAAGGAAATGCAGAGAAGCATAGTGTACTTAAATAAGAAAATTATCAACAAAATTTTATCCTCTGTTGTATGAGAAACTTCCAAACAAAGTTTACTTCAATAATTTTCTAACTGCAAAACATGAAAATGCCCATTGCCCACTCTTTTCTTTTTCTAAATACTTTTACAGTGTTTTAGTTTGGACTTCTAGAGTTGATTTAATTTACCAAATAAAGGGAGAAATAAAGAAATAAAGGGAGGTTTGAAATGAAACTTTTGAAAATGAGTGTGTAGGCAATAGCTAAACTCCTTTTCCCCGGTGTCAGGGAATCCATAAAACCCAGCTTTTTTTTCAACATGTTAATGATGGATGGTGACGTTGATCTATCCACGTTGAAATTAGGTTTTAGATGATTCCTAGCTAGTTCGTTTTATTGAGTGATAAAATGCCTGTCTGGCAATCCTGAAATCAATGGCATGCTCAAATACAAGTGTCAAATAGATGATTAATGTGTGGTAAGGTTCTAGGGAATAATTAATTTTGTTACATATGAGCAAAGCTGTATTATAATTTGCAACGTTTTTAAGATAAGTTCCTTCATGCGGTAATGGCACTTCTTGTTCTTCTCCCTCAGTGAGTGTCCACGTCTTGATATTCGTCATGTTCATTATGTGAAATGACAGAGTTACTTCAGTGGAAGGATGGGCAAAAAAATATCCAGAAAGTATATGAGGTACACATGAAAGAGCTAAGAATGGAAAGAGGCAGTAGATGAGTGCTAAAATAGCAAGATAGCAAAGGCTTTGATAGTGAAGGGACTAGGAAAGTATGCTGGTTAAGGAGGATATGGGTTTTAAATATTAAGGTGGAATTGCTACACTGAAATATGTCTTAGAACAATAATAAAGTAGTCTATTGTATTTATAAAACTCTAGCAAGATCAATAGCAATCACGATATTCACTATATCACAGTTTGCAAGTACTGTTTTAAATAGAGGGATTGGAACTAGATGATCTTAAAGGTCCCTTCCAACTCAAATCATTCTGTGATTCTATGCCAATTTTGCTTTCAGGAATGAGACCTCGTGAGTCACTGATGTACGATGGTTCACCGGTGTATTGATGACAGAGTTCCTGATTCTAACAGCTAAATGAGAATCTGACTAGTGAGGCATTTCTGAAAACACACCAATGGGCTACAGTAGCTCAGTATCATTTGTACCAAGCCTTAGCTGTTATTTCTGTTATACTCTACTAAATTTATGTCCACTACTACCCGTGCCTGGTTAGTTACGCTCACTGCGCGTTCTCTCTTCCCTTTGTACCTGTCATCATACTGTGTAAAAGAATATTGTAAAATCGCTGCTGTATGTTTACGAGGCAAGGATAATGCAGCTAGTAATAAAGAGACACCTTGATCTTTTATGTGATTACTTCTCTGTGGAAGTTCGAACTCAAACAATGAGCATCTGAGTGTTGTCTGTATTCTAAAAGCCTTCAACACTTGGTTGCAATTACAATTTGCACCAGGTCCTCCAGTGACATGGAAATCATCTTGCTGACCGTTGCATTACTTTGGGGGATGGTTTGGTTTTAAACACAAAGTTCCTCATTTGTGCCCAGGTAGAGTATGGGAGTTGCATTCTGTTTCTTCCAGTTATTAAGCATTCAGTAGATTGTTTTAAAAACCACAGCTAATGATGCAGGTCAAACACAACTCAGTACTGAACTGAGAATGGAGTCCTAGGTTAAGTACTTCCATATAGCAATGACTGTATAACAACGTATTTTGAAACATTCTCTATGTTAATTTAAAAAGTCTGCTCTAGAGGCATGCCTTACTTAAAAACACTCATGTCAAGAGCTGCAAAACACAAACATCTAGATCTCTGACAGAAGGAAAAGCTTGAAAACATAGTAACATGTGAACATGATCTTATGATCATAGAATGGCCTGGAATGAAAATGATCACTATGCTCATCTAGTTTCAACCCCCCTGCTATGTGCAGGGTCACCAACCAGCAGACCAGGCTGCCCAGAGCCACATCCAGCCTGGCATTGAATGCCTCCAGGGATGGGGCATCCACAGCCTCCTTGGGCAACCTGTTCCAGTGCCTCAGCACTCTCTGTGTGAAAAACTTTCTCCCAATATCTAACATAAACCTCCCCTGTCTCAGTTTAAAATCATGTTTACTTCATTTCTGAGAACTTGGGAAAACCATAGCTCAGCCATAAGTTTTCATTCATTCAACAGATTATAATTAAGAACAATTTTCAGTGTACATATTCATACCTTTCTTTGGACACCTTAGCAACCTTATTTCCCATCATTTAAATTGATTGTGATCAATACTTTAGGCTTTAAATTGAAGCAAAGTTTTTCAAGTACATTCATACTTACATATGCATACAGCAGATGTTTCCTGATGAAAGGCATTACTTGTCAAACAACTTCGATAGAACGTCAGTAGAAGCTCCAGATCCAAATGGCAAAAATAATCTGAAACTGCAGGATGCCCCCAAAACCTAAGTGTTAAGATTAAAGCACAATCAAGTGCAGTAATGGTTTTATCCTTCTCCACTAGTGCCTTGTGGTCACCTTGCTGTACGGTTAGTAAGTTCACTTTTTCCTTCAAGTGAATTTATTCCAGCTTCCTTGAAAAGGAAGATCCACAGTTAGTGTGTCATAGCTCTAGCTGCAATGCAAGCAGCCTGCAAGCAGCTCTGATTCAACAAAAACAGCAGGCACCACTGAAAAGCACTGGGTAAAGAGTGCCTAGGGAAGGTGACATCTTCATCAATCAGTTGAAAAGCACCACAATACAGTCCTGGTAATTGAGTGATACATAGAAAGAAGCAGATGTTCATCCTTAAGCATTA